GTGAATAGAAACATAGTAATAGTTTGTAACACAATTCTAGAACGCTTTAAACAATTTAATCAAGTCATGAAACATCTACTCTTTACATTGTACCTTTCTTCCACGAATAAAGCCCTTTTTCCAACTGGTAGTTTTCCTGGTTTGCAGCCTGTGTGTTCTGTATACTTTCAGTCCTTGAATAAATTCAGTATTAGATAATTATTTCATATGCATTGAATGTGTCTCATAAATTATCTGATAAACAATGTCTACCTTATATATCTCTAAAGCTTAAAAAATAAACCAGCCAAATAATTTTTCTTTCCTCTAAGATTTTTTTATTGTCAGTCTATCATCAATATATCTATATATCATATAGAGCAAGGGTATACTCCAGATATGATTCATCTACTTATTAATAATGAATGACTTGCAATGTGCCAGGTGCTCTTTTAAAAGCTTTTATATGTTTTAACTTATTTAACTCTACAAATATTTCTTTTTTATTTTATTTTATTTTATTTTTATTGCATTTTAGGTTTTGGGGTACATGTGATGAACATGCAAGATTGTTGCATAGGTACACACATGGCAGTGTGGTTTGCTGCCTTCCATCCCCTCACCTGTATCTGTCATTTCTCCCCATGCTATCTCTTCCCACCTCCCCACCCCCCACCCCTCCCCCATTTCCCCCCAACGGACCCCAGTGTGTAGTGCTCCCCTCCCTGTGTCCATGTGTTCTCATTGTTCAACACCCGCCTATGAGTGAGAATATACGGTGTTTGATTTTCTGCTCTTGTGTCAGTTTGCTGAGAATGATGGTTTCCAGGTTCATCCATGTCCCTACAAAGGACGTGAACTCATCGTTTTTGATGGCTGTGTAATAGTCCATGGTGTATATGTACCACATTTTCCCTATCCAGTCTATCATCGTTGGGCATTTGGGTTGGTTCCAGGTCTTTGCTATTGTAAACTGTGCTGCAATGAACATTCGTGTGCACGTGTCCTTGTAGTAGAATGATTTATAATCCTTTGGATATATACCCAGTAATGGGATTGCTGGGTCAAATGGGATTTCTATTTTTAGGTCCTTGAGGAATCGCCACACTGTCTTCCACAATGGTTGAATTAATTTACATTCCCACCAACAGTGTAAAAGTGTTCCTATTTCTCCACATCCTCTCCAGCATCTGTTGTTTCCCGATTTTTTAATGATCGCCATTCTAACTGGTGTGAGATGGTATCTCAATGTGGTTTTGATTTGCATTTCTCTGATGACCAGTGATGATGAGCATTTTTTCATATGTTTGTTGGCCTCCTGTATGTCTTCTTTTGTAAAGTATCTGTTCATATCCTTCACCCATTTTTGAATGGGCTTGTTTGTTTTTTTCTTGTAGATCTGCTTTAGTTCTTTGTAAATTCTCGATTTCAGCCCCTTGTCAGATGGGTAGGCTGCAAATTTTTTTTCCCATTCTGTTGGTTGCCGATTCACTCTACTGACTGTTTCTTTTGCTGTGCAGAAGCTGTGGAGTTTGATTAGGTCCCATTTGTCTATTTTGTCTTTTGTTCCCATTGCTTTTGGCATTTTGGTCATGAAGTCCTTGCCTACACCTATGTCCTGAATGGTTTTGCCTAGATTTTCTTCTAAGGTTTTTATGGTGTTAGGTCTGATGTTTAAGTCTTTAATCCATCTGGAGTTAATTTTGGTGTAAGGTGTCAGGAAGGGGTCCTGTTTCTGCTTTCTGCACATGGCTAGCCAGTTTTCCCAACACCATTTATTAAACAGGGAGTCCTTTCCCCATTGCTTGTTTTTGTCAGGTTTGTCGAAGATCAGATGGTTGTGGGTATGTTGTATTTCCTCTGAGGCCTCTGTTCTGTTCCATTGGTCTGTATCTCTGTTTTGGTACCAGTACCATGCTGTTTTGATTACTGTAGCCTTGTAGTATAGTTTGAAGTCTGGTAGTGTGATGCCTCCTGCTTTGTTCTTTTTGCTTAGAATTGACTTGGCTATGCGGGCTCTCTTTTGGTTCCACATGAAGTTTAAGGTGTTTTTTTCCAGTTCTGTGAAGAAGGTCATTGGTAGCTTGATGGGAATAGCGTTGAATCTGTAAATTACTTTGGGCAGTATGGTCATTTTCACAATGTTGATTCTTCCAAATATTTATTTAAAAAGTATGTTATCAGTAATGAAAATAGCCTACAACCTACTATAAAGGGCAGTAGTTTACTTCTTGGAATATCATCTTGGTCAAAGTCATTATCTGAGGAGAATATATACCTGTTTCAACAATGTCATTGTATAAATGATTTGAAACACCTTTTGGAATTACTAAAAGCTTGTGGCACATTTCTATATACATTCTCAGTAATGAAAATGTTTAGCTTCCAAGAGAATTAAGTTTTGGAAAGAATGAAAATTATCTAGGCCGGCATGGTGGCTCACACCTGCAATCCCAGCACTTTGGGAGGCCAAGGTGGGTGGATCATTTGAGGTCAGGAGTTCAAGACCAGCCTGGCCAACATGGTGAAACCTCGTCTCAAAAAATTAGCCCAGTGCAGTGGTGTGCACTTGTAATCCTATTTACTCGGGAGGCTGAGACATGAGAAGTTGCAGTGAGCCGAGATCATGCCATTGCACTCCAGCCTGGGTGACAGAGCAAGACTCTGTCTATAACAAACAAACAAAAACGTATCTATCTAGGGAAAGGAAAAACCATCCGAGACCAAGTTAGCTAATAACACTAAGATATGACTATAAAATAAGAGACTTAATTTTCTCATGTCATTTTACCAGTTCTAAAGGTAATTTCAAAAGTCCTCAAAATGTTTTAATTGTAGCATTGTGAAAACAAATATCTAGCTTTCTAAGTTATTATGCACATAGTCATATCATCTGTACCAGTCTGTTTTCATGCTGCTAATAAAGTCATACTGGAGACTGGGTAATTTATAAAGGAAAGAGGTTTAATTTACTCACAGTTCCACATGACTGGGGAGGCCTCAGTAAACTTACAATCATGGTGGAAGGCACCTTTTCGCAGGGCAGCAGGAGACAGAAGAATGAGAGCGAAGCAGGGAAAAGCCCCTTATAAAATCATCAGGTCTCATAAGAACTCACTCACTATCATGAGAACAGCATGAGGGCAACTGCCCCCATGATTCAATTACCTCTCACTGGGTCCCTCCTGCAACATCAGGGGATTATGGGAACTACAATTCAAGATGAGATCTGGGTGAGGACACAGCCAAACCACACCACCACTGTTCCCTAAATGTAAATGAGTAAGAACCATTTTACCTTTTTTATGAAATACTATGCTTTATTTTAAGCATTCTGGAACAAAAGCAAATGAAAATTGACTCAGAATAGTATCAGCAGACATTCCTTTAAGTTATAGATTCTTAAAGCACAAAGAAATTTGTATGATTTTATAGTACTAACTTCTGCATTTTACAGATGAAACTAATTCCCTGAAGGGTGTGGTGATTGCCAATATGACTTAGCAAATTAGAGACAGCACCAAGTACAGAGCCCAAGTCTCTTGTCTTCTACCAGGTACTTACGCGTTCCACTACCCTTCTATCCCTATCTGTGGCTTAAGAGCAATACCAGAGGAGATAAATTGTTTCAAAACAATGTAGAAATTACCCTCTAAACTAGTATTTGGTACTTATTGCTCAATGATCAACTAGAAAAAATATATAACACTAGATGGGATCTAATATATTCTAAATTCTTTAACCGGTAAATTGTCAATTTAAATGTCTTTGAACTATGCTTAGAGTTGTAACATCAAATGCTATGGAAATAAGCTGTATAAATCTAAAAGTCTCAAAATTAAAGCAAATGCATGCCTATATAATAATTCATTTATCCAAATGAAATGTAAAATAAACCCTTACTGGGAATTTTGACTTGAAAACAATAGGCCATACAAAACTCTCGAGTAGCTCGTAAAATTTCAACTCAAATTACTCACAAAAAGTCCTAATACCCAGTGAATAAAGGATGTTTCTTAGAAAAAGATCAGTGAATGTATTTTTGGAATGATGTCAGAGACGAGCATCTTTCATCATCATTTTTGATCAGACATACAGCTTCATTCATAAAAACACAAACAAGGTCAAAATTCACAGAAGGGATTACTGTGCTCTAAGGAAACATACTTTGGCTACAGCTATAAATGTGGGTTTGCTTATCAAATTTACATATAAAGTTTTCTATCTTAATCACTGCATAACTCAAGCTTATACCAGAACAATACCAGAGGGGAGAAATTGTTTCACCATTTCTAAATAATGTAGAAATTACCTTCTAATCTAGTATTTGGTACTTGTTACTCACTGGTCCACTAGGGAAAATATATAATACTAGGCAGGATCTAATATTTTTTTCCACAATGATGATGAAGCTAAATAATTAGAAGAGAAAATTTGGAATACTTCAATTAGCATTTTATATTTTTATATCAATTTGTTTATGACATGTTTGATTTTAGGTTTATCATACAAATAATGTAAAATAATTTCAATTAAAAATGCATGCTACTTTCATAATTTCTCTTAATTACTTATAAGTAGGCAGAAATAAACCTTCCAAGACAAAAGGTGATCTCTAAAAAGTCTCGGACAGATTTGAGGTAAAATCTATAGTGAAATATGACTGAGGTGTGACTAGATTAGATGGCTATTTATCAGTATGATAAACAAATGTATTTTATGTATGTATCACTATGAAAACAAATGGATAAAGACAAACATCTAATACAAATACATGAAACTAAAAGTGCCCCAGAAAACTCTAAATATCTTTAATTTTAAATTGCATTTAGCTAAGGAAGACTTATTAGAGGAAAATATTTTGTGTGAATTACTTTATCAAAACTCAAGAATAAAATTTACATTTCTGAATATAAGATAGATTTTTAAAAAGGATGCCACTTATTCAATATACAAATTCTTACAACAGAGTTTAACATAAGCATGATGACATATGTTTACAGCTTGAGAGTTAAGTATTATTACTTAAAACTAGGAAACATACCTTTATTTTTGGAAGGAGATGGTTTAAAGTTCTTTATTTCTATTTCATGAGTGTTTCCCAGTTCAAATTCATTTATCCAAGTTGTTTTTACATTACCATCAATTGTCATCAATTTTATTTTCTTCAATATGCAGAATTCCATTCAACTTTGTATCTGTGCAATCCTCAGCTTTCACTTCTCTGGCCAAATCTATTTCTTTTATAGTTCTAATTTCAAAAAGGTCTTCAGCTAAAATGCAATCTGAATTGTTAGCCAATCTATTTCCTCTATCAGTTTCGACTAGGTCATTTTTTTCTTCATTTGTATCTTCAGGATCATAAAGCTCAGGTGTAAAATAGATAGATTCATCTTCTGCTTCTGTTTCAAAATTTCTATTTGAAGTGGATTGTTCATCTTCTTCACTTACTAGAGACAATTCAATGTCTGGATCTAGGGCTTCTTCAGAACAGAGAGGATGTTCGGGATGATTTTGTCTAGTAAGGGTTCCATCAATCTTTAATGATGAAATAATGGTTTCTGATTGAGGGTATGATCCAAACGATGTTTCTACTGTCAGATCTGAGGATTCGCATTTATCAGTGAAAGGCAAAACAGTTTTACTTTCCATCTTTTCTGTTTTGAAACTGGGAGGACTAGAGGCACTATTCTTTGATGACTCGAGCTCAGGTGTTGCCTTTGGTATTTTACCAGTAAAATACTGTCCCAAAGAATTAAAGCTCGACCAAATAACCCTCTTTGTTTGTTTGTTGAAAGTTGGGCTTGTGGATCTGGAAATCACAATTTTTTCTGCTTTCATTGCTTGGACAGGCTCTTCCAGGAATACTGGATCACCTAAGAATACAAGAATTTAAGAGCTTTAACTTTCTGCTCCTAGCCAACATAGTAATTATTAAGTTAAAATAATTATTTATTAGATATGCCTAAATAACTGTATAGAATACATAACTTAGGCCGGCTGTGGTGGCTCACGCTGTAATCCCAGCACTTTGGGAGGCCGAGGCAGGTGGATCACAAGGTCAAGAGATCGAGACCATCCTGGTCAACAAGGTGAAACCCCGTCTCTACTAAAAATAAAAAAATTAGCTGGGCATGGTGGTGTGCGCCTGTAGTCCCAGCTACTCGGGAGGCTGAGGCAGGAGAATTGCTTAAAACCAGGAGTCAGAGGTTGCGGTGAGCCGACATCATGCCATTGCACTCCAGTCTGGGTAACAAGAGCGAAACTCCGTCTCAAAGAAAAAAATACATAACTTAGAGCCCCCAATGAACACTACTGGATTTTTAATCTTGGAACAGAATATTGACTCTGAAAGAAGTTTTAGGTCTCTAGTGGTTCCTTGCCCAAGTTATAACACTGTCTGGTAAACTATAAAATTCCACATCAGGAAACTCAGTAATAAACGAGAAAAGAAGGAGCAAAAGGGAAGAGGAAGAGGGCTGAGTAAAGGAAGGAACAGGCTGTAAACATTTGCCTTGAAAATCCACTAACCAGTGACTGAGAAAAGCTTACCTAGACTAATTATTTTATTTAATAAATAAGGAAGGTGACAATTATAAGGCTAAGTTATTTGAATTCACTATGACATTTATAAATATATACTACAAAATAAATGTTTAAATTTTTTTTTTTTTTTTTTGAGACGGAGTTTCGCTTTTGTTACCCAGGCTGGAGTGCAATGGCACGATCTCGGCTCACCGCAACCTCCGCCTACTGGGTTCAGGCAATTCTCCTGCCTCAGCCTCCTGAGTAGCTGGGATTACAGGCACGTGCCACCATGCCCAGCTAATTTTTTGTATTTTTAGTAGAGACGGGGTTTCACCATGTTGACCAGGATGGTCTCGATCTCTCGACCTCATGATCCACCTGCCTCGGCCTCCCAAAGTGCTGGGATTACAGGCTTGAGCCACCGCGCCCGGCCTAAAAATTTTTTTCTTTTTTTTTTTTTTTTGAGACAGAGTTTCACTCTTTTTGCCCAGGCTGGAGTGCAATGGCGTAATCTCGGCTCACTGCAACCTCCGCCTCCCAGTTTCAAATGATTCTTCTGCCCCAGCCTCCCAAAAAGCTGGGATTACAGGCACCCACCACCATGCCCAGCTAAATTTATATTTTTTTTTTAGTAGACATGGTATTTCACACCACATTGTTTAGGCCGGTCTCAAACTCCCGATCTCAGGTATCTGCCTGCCTTGGATATATGAATTAAAACAACTGAAATTATATCCAGTGATATAATTTATACTCTGGTATAAACCAGAGTTTGGCAAACCTTTTTTGTTACAGGCCAGATAGTAAATATTTTAGGCTTTGTGGGCCATAATATATCTGTTGCACCTACTCAGTTATGCTGTTCTAGTGCAATACACACAAATACTCAACTCTGCTGTTGTCTGTAATATGTAAATAAGTGAGCGTGACATTTCATTAAACTTTATTTACAAAAACAGGCAGCAGGCCAAATTTGGTCCATGGGCCACAGTTTGCCAATCTGATACAGATGATTATTTCTAAAATATTTTAAAATATTATTTTTCATCACTTAAATGCCTCTCATCTCCTAAAAATAAATAAGTTCATGAGAACTATCTATATAGAAAAAGAAGCTCATATAGAAGTATATATATTAAAAAATCAGGCCAAATTTTTATATAGCCTTTAGAATAACATCTGCCACTTATATGGTACTTCACAATGCTGTGATATTTATAATCTTGACCTTTATAACCCAACCTGAAGGGATAGGTCGGTAGGCATTTTTTTCCTGTTATGACTCAAAAAGGTCAAATGACTTGCTCATGATCACAAAAGTAGCAAGTGGCAAAGCCAGTTAGTGGAAAATCAGAAAATATGCTCTGGTCTCCTGAAAAACGTTTGTTTCCATTACAACACATCATACTGTTTCACTACTTTATGATAACACCTTGTATTATAAACCACCATATTTAAGGAAATTAATCTATACCCAAATAAATATCATTTCACTAAATACAATGAAAGACTTCTCCATCAAAGGTAAATGGGCAGAACTTTACATACTTCTCTCCTTTCTGGAGATGATGCCACTTGGTAGAGGTGAATTTTTAGTGATAATTTCAGGACACTGAAGTTCCTGGACACACATCTTTGCTTCATCTTTCACAAAATTTTCTGGTGATAGATGACTTGCTGCTTCCAATAAAAAAGCTGGGGTATTGTCCATTGAAGAGATCACTTCAACTGTGGACCCATTGTCCTGTATATTTGTTCTGTCCTTAATGGATACATCAAGAACTTTTTGATGCTTTTTGGAAAATTCGGCCAAGGACTCCAGGGCACTTTCGAAGGTTGAATGGTGCTGAATCTGCTGCCGTATCCATTTAGAAAGTCCTACAGAAAAAAAGTAAACCCAGGGGAAAATTTGGTTGGTTATTAAAATATTACATGCTAACACTTACTTTTTCTAGTGAAGTAATCTAATTTGTAATTTCAATATACAGAATGGTTCTTGATATGTTTTTTCTGCAGTTCAGCAATTTTACTTTATATGTACAATACACTCCTTTATCAGTAACATTCTCTTTATATGCAGTAATTGTCAAATGGAGAGAAAAAGAAGGCAGAGAAGAGAAAACATATACTCTGGTTAAGAATAACTGGTGAATACAAAAAATTTAATTTCATCATAATTCCCAAAAAAAAATTGCCTATTTTTTTGGTAGGGAAACTAGAAGTTGTAAACAACACAACTTTTGATTTTAATACTCTAAATCTTACTCCTTTTGCAAAAATAAATTTAAGATTCTAGTTTAAATTTTTTTTTGTTCCCTTCCTCCACGAATTCCAAATATATCTTAAATCATTCTGGAGATGAAAGAAATAACACTGTCTTATGGGCAAATGATATCCCTTCTGAATTTTTATTATGTAATCCATTTTAATATATAATCAAGTTATAAAAAATATGATTTGACCTGTGACATATAAAAACTGCATAAAAATGAAACATAAGAGTTTAAAGTGTTTTCTAGTATGACGCTCTTCCACATGAAATTCAAAATCAGATATTTGGACTTTTACAAAATAAATATTCCCTGCTAACATTACTAAAACTAGCATCATCTTTTGGAGGAATTAGTTTTAAAAGTCACTATAGGGTAAACATTATGTTCTAGATTTTAAAACTAAAAAAATTTTAAATAAGCCATTTCCCTTGAAGTTCTTTATTTTGTTCATTTGGGGAATATGATTAGACCATATAAATATGCGAAATATTCTAACATTAAAAATTTTTAGGCTGGGTATGGTGGCTCACACCTGTAATCCCAGGATTTTGGGAGGCTGAGGTGAGCAGATCACTTGAGGCCAGGAGTTTGAGGTGGCAGTGATCATGCCACTGCACTCCAGCCTGGCAACAGAGTAAGACCTGTCTCTAAAAAAGAAATAAGTAAATAAAAATGAGAATTTTAGTACTATATTTACCTTTTCATTTCAACCTTTCTATAATCAAAGAAAGCCTTTTCGGTGTAAAATATCATTGTCTGCTTCTGAAAACTTGAAAGGATCTGAGCTCTACCTGCTGACTAGACACCAGCACTTAGCCTTTAGTTTGACCTATGCTACTGCACACTTTACGTGGAAAGGGAAAATAAAATAAGGCAATATTTTCTGTGTTAATCCAGATGTTTATGTTTTAGTATCAAACTACAGTAATTAGGCTCTGAAATTGAAAAGGTTGAGTCCACATCCACACACAGCTAATCTAAAACAAAATTTAACATCTTTATTATAATAAAAGGAATTTTTTAGCTAAAATGTAATAATAAAGATATACATGTATCCCATGGCTCTTTAATAACTCCTAGTATCGACTCTGAAAGGACTATTTACTGTTGGATAAAACCATAGCCACATTTGTTGATTTGAGTGGGGAAAAAAATGACATTACTGGTTCCATCAATGTGAGTAGAAAAATTTGTGGCAACCTCTCGCCATGGTCCCCACTTCAGAACAGGGGAGTTAGCTCCTAGCTTCTTCTCCCTGGGGAGAAAAAAAGGAAAACTGGACCTTATGTCTTTTTCTAGGAAGTTGTCTGAGGGACTGGCTTCTATCTTACCTGTAGTGAAGGACTGACATGAGCCAGTATACCCTACATGCCCAGAGGCCACTGAGACCAAAAGTGCTGCAGCAAGCTTCTGCTTCACAGGAACCACAGTACAACAGACAGAGGCCCATACAGTTTGACGACCACTCCCTCAGGGGGACAGAAAAGCCTGGAGTGCGCATCCAATATCTTGGCTTTTCAAGGAGCTGTCCAGGGACTGGTTTCCGTCTTGCTTGTCATGGAGCACTGACTGGACCTAGCATACTCTATATGCCTAGAATCTACTGAACAAAAGAGAGTTGGGAGTGATGGCTCATGCCTGAAATCTCAGCACTTTGGGAGGCCAAGGTGGGCAGATCACTTGAGCCCAGGAGTTTGAGACCAGCATGGGCAACAGGGTGAAACCCCAAATCTACAAAAAATACAAGAATTAGTTGGGTATTGTGGTGCCCACTTGCGGTCTCAGCTACTTGGGAGACTGAGGTAGGAGGATCCCTTGAATACACGAGGTTGAAGTTGCAGTGAGCCAAGATTGTGCCACCGCACTCTAACATGGGTGACAGAGTGAGACCCTGATTGACCAAAGAAAAAAAAGCTGGGCAGCATGCTGCTACTTCAGAGGCCCCACAATACAAGACAGACCAGTGGGAGCAAGAGATTATGACACCCAGAAAAAAACAAACCAGCAAATAATTCTAATAAGGAATTTATACAGACAAGTCCTAAGAAGACAAATCCACAGAAAAGGTTTGAAAGGCTCCCAGAATGCCTAGCTGGACTGATGAGCGAAGGTCTTTCCCTGTATAAAACCAGTCAGTAAACACTGTGAGAGGTGGCCGTTTTTTCAAATGTGTGGATACCACACAAGGTTACAAGGAACATAAGGAAACAGGAAAAAATAACCCTGTCAAAGGAAGAAAATAAGTCTCCAGAAACCAACCAAAAAATAAATGAGGTATATTAATTACCTTGCAAGGAATTTAAAATAATTGTTGAAATTATGCTCACAAGAAAATAATACAGAAAAAAAGGAGAATTTTGACTAAGATAAAGAACAGAAAAAAGAACTAAACAGATTTTGGAGCTAAAAAATGCAATAACTGGACTGAAAAATTCACTAGAGGGGTTCATCAGCAGACTTGATCAAGTAGAAGGAAGAATCAGGAAATTTGTTTTATTTTATTTTATCTTTTGAGATAGAGTCTTGCTCTGTCACCCAGGCTGGAGTAGAATGGCGTGTTCTAGGCTCACTGCAACCTCCGCCTCCTGAATTCAAGTGATTCTCCTGCCTCAGCCTCCCAAATAGCTGGGACTACAGGCATGCATCACCATGCCTGGCTAATTTTTATATTTTTAGTAGAGACAGAATTTCACCATGTTGGCCAGCCTAGTCTCGAACTCCTGACCTCAAGTGATCCACTCACCTCAGCCTCCCAAAGTGCTCAGAATCAGGAAATTTGAAGAAAAGTCATTTGAAATTATCCAGTCAGGGAAGCAAAAAGAAAAAAACAAAATAGAAAAAGAAAGTAAAGCCTAAGGGAGTTATGGGACACCATCAAGCTGAACAATATACACATTCTGGGAGTCCTAGAAAGATAAAGAGGGAAAGAAGCAGAAAGCTTATTTATAGAAATAATTACCAAAAACTTAATAAACCTGGGGGGAGGAAAATGACATCCAAATACATGAAGCCCAATGAACCTGAACAGGATGAACCCAAAAGTCTGTACCAAGACATGTTATAATCAAAGTGTCAAAAGTCAGAGAAAAAACAGAAATTAAGGGCCAGGCGCGGTGGCTCACGCCTGTAATCCCAGCACTTTGGGAGGCCGAGGAGGGTGGATCACGAGGTCAAGAGATCGAGACCATCCTGGTCAACATGGTGAAACCCCCGTCTCTACTAAAACTACAAAAAATTAGCTGGGCATGGTGGCACATGCCTGTAATCCCAGCTACTCAGGAGGCTGAGGCAAGAGAATTGCCTGAACCCTGGAAGCGGAGGTTGCGGTGAGCCAAGATCGTGCCATTGCACTCCAGCCTGGGTAACAAGAGCAAAAACTCCGTCTGAAAAAAAAAAGAAAAAATAGAAATTAGAAAACAGCAAGAGAAAAGCAACTTGTCATATACAAGTGAAGTCCCATAAGACTGGCAAGAGGCCAAGTATGAAGGCTCATGCCTGTAATCCCAATACTTAGGGAGGCAGAGGTAGGAGTTGAGATTGAGCCAAGGAGTTTGAGATTAGCCTGGGCAACATAGTGAGACCTCATCTCTAAAAAAAAAAACAAACAAAATTAAAAATTAGCCAGACGTGGTGGTACATACCTGTAGTCCCAGCTACTTAGGAGGCTGAGGTGGGAGGATCACTTGAGCCTTGGAGGCTGAGAGGCTGCAGTGAGTCATGATCACACCACTGCACTCCTGCCTAGGTGGCAGTGTAAGACCTTGTCTCCAAAAAAAAAAAAAAAAAAAGATTTCTCAGGTAACAGCTTGCCAGCCATAAGGAATTAGAATGACATTTTCAAAGAGCAAAAAGAAAAAAACCTGCCAGTGAAGGATATTATATCTGGTAAAACCATCTATCAAAATGAATAAGAGGTAAAAACTTTTACAGATAAACAAAAGCTGAGGTACTTCACTACTAAACTTGCCTTACAAGATACGTTCAAGAAAGCCTGCTAAACAGCAACATGAAAGCATATGAAAAGTATAAAGTTTGCTCGTGAAGTTAAAAGTGTACACAAATACAGAATACTTTAACATAAAAACAGTGGCACATAAATCATGTTTAATTCTACACAGAGGTTAAAAAACAAGGTATGAAAATGACTATAATAATGTGTTATTGGATACACAATATAAAAGGGTTTAATTTTGACTTTAATAATAAAATGTGATGGGGAAAGGTAAAGGTGTAGAGTTTTTTTATACAATTAAAATTACCTTGTTAGCTGAAAATATTGTACCTATGTTTTATGTAAGACTCATGTAACCACAAAGGAAACATCTATAGAAGATACACAAAAGAAAAATGAGAAAGGAATCAAAGCATGTTTCTTCAAAAATCAAAAAATGAAAAGTTTTTAAGACTAGGAACAAAGCAAGGATGTTTATTCTCACTACTTCTATTTAACTTAGTACTAAGAGTCCTAGCCAGACTATTAGGCAAGAAAATAAAATAAAAGGAATCCAAATTGAAAAAGAATAAATTCAAATGATCTCTCCTTGCAGATGACATGATCTTTTATGTAGAAAACCCTAAAGATTGGAAAACAAAAAACAAACAAACAAAAAAAACCTGTTAGGACTAATAAATCCAGTAAAGTTGCAGGATACAAAAATCAATGTACAAAAATCACTTGCAATTCTATATACTAAAAACAATCAAAAGAAGAATTTAAGGAAACGATCTCCTTTATAATAGCAACAAAGAGAATAAAATACCTAGGAATAAACAACTAAGGAGGCAAAAAACTTGTGCACTGAAAATTACAAAACATTCCCGAAAAACAATGAAGATAATACAAATAAATGGAAAGACATCCCATGTTCACAGATTGGAAGACCTAATATTGTTAGAATGTCCATGCTGCCTGGCGTGGTGGCTCAAGCCTGTAATCCCAGCACTTTGGGAGGCTGAGGCAGGTGGATCACGAGGTCAAGAGATCGAGACCATCCTGGTCAACTTGGTGAAACCCCGTCTCTACTAAAAATACAAAAAATTAGCTGGGCATGGTGGCGTGTGTCTGTAATCCTAGCTACTCAGGAGGCTTAGGCAGGAGAATTGCCTGAACCCAGGAGGCGGCGGAGGTTGCGGTGAGCCGAGATCGCCCCATTGCACTCCAGCCTGGGTAACAAGAGCAAATCTCAGAATGTCCATGCTACTGAAAGCAATCTTTTTTTTTTTTTTTTTAAATGGAGTCTTGCTCTCTTGCCCAGGTTAGAATGCAGTGGTGCTATCTCAGCTCACTGTGAACTCTGCCTCCTGCATTCAAGGGAGTCTCCTGCCTCAGCCTCGCAAGTAGCTCGGACTACAGGCACCCACCACCATGCCTGGCTAATTTTTGTATTTTTAGTAGAGATGGGGTTTCACCATGTTGGTCAGGCTGGTCTCAAACTCCTGACCTCACAATCCACCCACCTCGGCCTCCCAAAGTGCTGAGATAACAGGCATGATCCACCATGCCCAGCCACAATCTAAATTCATATGAAACCACAAAGGACTACAAATAGGCAAAAGAATCTTGAGAAAAAAGATAAAAGTGCAGGCATCATACTTCCTGATTCTAAAATATATTACAAACCTGTAGTAATCAAAAAAGTATGATACTGGCATAAAGAAAAACATATAAACCAATGGAACATAATAGAGAGTCCAGAAACAGATCCATACATATATAGTCAGCGGATCATATGGTTTGGTTGTTTTCGCCAAAGCTCATGTTGAAACATGTTCCCCAATGTCTTAGGTAGGGAAATGTGTTGTTTGGTTGTTTCCTCCAAAGCTCATGTTGAAATGTGTTCCCCAATGTCATAGTGGGAGGTGTGTGGTTCATGGGAACGGAACCCCCCATGAAAGGCTTGGTGCCCTCCTATGGTAATGGGTGAATTCTTCCTCTAATTAGTTCACATGAGACCTTCTCGCCTCTCTCGGTCACTCTCTTGCTTTACGATGCACTTGCTTTCCCTTTACCTTCTGCTATGATTGTAGACTTTCTGAGGCCCTCATCAGGAGATGCTTATGCCATGATTTTTATGCAGCCTGCAGAACCACGAGCCAAATAAACCTCTTATCTTTATAAATTATCCAGTCTTCGTGTTGGCAACAATTGTTTGGATATGACACCAAAAACATAGGCAATAAAAGCAAAAATAGACAAGGAAGACCACATTAAACTAAAAAACTTCTGTGCAGCAAAGTAAATAATCAGCAATCTACAAAATGGGAGAAAATATTTGCAAAGCATATATCATATCTGATAAGGAACAGATCTCCAAAATATATAAGAAACTCCTATATCTCAATAGCAACAAACAAACACACACACCAAAAACCAAACCAAAAAAACAGATACACAAAGAAATCCAAAAACCCCAATTAAAAAATAAGCAAATGAAAAGACATTTCTCCAAAGACATATGATTTGGCTAACAATAGAAAAGATGCTTAACAATCCTAAGCATCAGAGGAATGTAAATCAAATCCACAATGCGCTATCACGTCATACCTTGTAGGATAGCCTTTATGAAATTTAAAAAAGAGAAAGAAGAAAAAAAGGAAACGAGAGTTAGTGGGGATATGGAGAAATTGAAACCCTTGTGTGCTATTGGTGGGAATGTCAAATGTTGCAGATGCTATGAAGAACAGAATCAAATCAAAAAATTAAAATTAGAACTACGATAATTCACCAATTCTATGCTTGGTAGTTATTTTTTAAAGTTGAAATCAGGATCTTGAAGAGATATCTGCATTCCCATGTCTATTGCAGCATTGTTCTCAATATCCATGAGGTGGAAATAACCTAAATGTCTACTGACAGATAAATGGATTTTAAAAATGGTATAATATATACATAAAATAAAATATTAAGTAGTCATTGAAAAGAAGGAAATCCTGTCACATACAACAATATAGATGAAACTTAAGGACATTATGCTAACTGAAATTAACCAGTAACAGAAGGACAAATACTGCATAATTCAATTTATATGAGGTATCTAAAGTAGTCAAACTAATAGAAGCAGAAAGTATAGTGGTGGTTGACAGAGGATGAGGGGAGAGGGAATGGGGCATTGCTGTTCAATCGGTTTTAAGTTTCAGTTACGCAAGATTTAAAAGTTTTAGAAACTTGCTATACAATGCTGTACTTACAATTAACAACATTGTACTGTGCATTAATAAGATGGTAGATCTCATGTTATGTGTTTTTTTTAATCACAACAAAAATATGAAGATTGTTACTAGTTCTTATTCTAGGCCCAGCTGAGATCTTACCAGATATATAGCGACTTGGGTTATTCCTATAACGATCATCCACTAGAATAAGAGCTCCCCAATCATTTCTGTGTCGAATACATCTACAAAAAATAGGGAGAAAATCAATTTTATATATTCTTTTAAACAATTTGCTATTATGAGAAAAGTTATAGAAGCTATCCAATACAATGTAACTAAGTAGATGTATTAAAAACTCCCTACTTTTGCCAAATACTGATAACTTACATCTAAAATGTTGTATTTCATTTTGCACTCAAGAAAATTATAGAAAACATTTTCTAAGAGCATTCTTAGCCACATAGACCCTTTTTTTTAAACCTTAAGTATTATAAATAATTGTAGGTTTTATGTAAAGGTACTTTTTACTAGTTTGATGAGAGTTTTTCATCATGAATAAACATTGAATTTTGCCAAAAATATTCCAAAATTCAATTAACATGTAATTTTTCTTATTTTGACTGTTAATATGGTAGATTACACTGGTTCATTTTCAAATACTGACATTCCTAGTCATGGTGTATTATTCTTTTTATAGATTGTTGGATTCAATTTGCTAGTTTTTAAAAATATATTAAAAAATAAAGACTTATTTTTTAAATAATTATTAAACAATTTTAAAGTGTACAATGCAGTGGTTTTTGGTATATTTACAAGGCTGTATAACCTATACCACTTACCTATCCCAGAACATTTTCACCCCCCCCCCCAAATAAACCCTGTGCCCACTAGCTGTTACTCCAAATTATCCCAATTATTCCCTATTACCTCTGCCAACCACTAATTTTTCTGTTCTTAGAGATCTGCCTATTCTGGACGTTTGATTTCACTGAAATCATCCAATATGTAGCATTTTCTATCTAGCATATTTCACTGAGCCTGATGTTACCAAGATTCACTCATATATCTATCATTTACCAGTACTTCATTTATAAATTAATGTTTCCACTTTTTGGCTATTACAAATAATGCTGCTATAAACATTTGGTTACAAGTTTTCATATGAATAAATGTGTTTGTTTTTCTTGGGCATACACCTAGAAGTGGAATTGTGAGTCATATGGTAAATCTTTAATTTTCCAAACACTGCCACACTGTTTTCCAAAGTAGCTGCACATTTTACATTTCCACCACCTATGTACAAGGGTTCCAAAATCTCCACATCCTCACCAACACTTGTTATTGTATATCCTTCTAAAGTTATCTCTACACTAGGAAGTATGAAATATTATTTCATTATGGTTTTGATTTGCATTTCTCTAATGACCAATGATGTTGAACATCATTTTTATGTGCTTACTGGCCATTTGTGTATCCTTTTTTTGAGAAGTCTGTTCAAATTATTGGTCCATCTTTCATGGCCTATTTTGTCTTTTTATTATTAAATTGTAAGAGCTCTTTATATATTCTGGATACCAGATCCTGCTACACATGATTTACAAATATTTTCTCCATATGTAAGTTTTCTTTTCCATTTCTTGATACTGTCCTTTGAAGAACAAAAATTTAAATTATAACAAAGTCCAACTTATCTACTTTTTCTTTGGTTGCTTATGCTTCTGATAGCAGATCAAAGAAACTATTGCCTAATACAAGGCCAAGAAAATTTATATCTCTGTTTTTGTCTTTTTCTGTCTTTGATCCACTTTAACTTTTGTATATGGTGTGAGGTAGGAATCTAATTTCATTATTTGCACATAGATATCCAGTTGTTCCAGCACCATCTGTCGAAAAGACTAATCTTCTTTGAGTTGTCTTGGCACTCTTGTCAAAAGTCAATTCATTGTATGATGTATGAATTTGTTTATGGACCCTCAATTCTACCCATTTATCTACACCATCTGTCTTGATGCCAGTACAACATAATCTTGATTACTGTAGCTTTGTTGTAAATTTAAAGTAGAAAACTGTTTGTTCTCCTAGTATGTTCTTCTTTTTCAAGATTGTTTTAACTATTCTGGGTTCCTTGCTTTTCCATAATAATTTTAGAATCAGTTTCTCAATTTCTGCCAGAAAGTCAGCTGGAATTTTGACTAGTATTGCATTTAATCTCTATATCAATAAAGGGAAGTGCTGATATTTTAACAATAAGTCTTCTAATCCATGAACATGGGATTCTTTCCATTTATTTAGAATTTTCTTTCAATAATGTTTTGCAGTTTTCCATATACAGATCTTTCAAATCCTTAGTTAAGTATATTTCTAAGTATTTTTTTCTTTTTTCTGATGTTATCTTAAATGGAATGTTCTGAAGTTCATTTTTAGATTTTTGGCTGCTAGCAAATAAAAATGTCATTGATTTTTTTAATATTGGTCTTATAACCTGAACCCTCGCTGAACCTCAGTTGTTACTTTTAAAATGAATTTCTCAGAATTTTCTGTGTGTAATATATCATTTGCAAATAAAAACAGGTCTGCTTCTTCCTTCCTCTTGTCTCACTGGCCTGGTTAGAATCTCCAATACAATATTGAATAGAAATGGTGAGAGTCAAAATCACTGTTGTGATCTTGAACTTAGGAGAAAAGTTTCAGTCTTTCACAACTAAGTGTGAGGTTAGCTGTGAGTTTTTCATAGATGACCTCAGTAAAGCTAAGTAAATAACCTGATATTCCCACTTTGTTATTTTCACCATGAAAATGTGTTAAATACTGTTTTATGCTTTTTTTTTTCATCTTGAGAAGATCATGTGGTTTTGGTGTTCTTTTAATATGGCATATTACATTAATTGATTTTATAAAGTATGTTGAACCAATCTTGGATTGCTGGGATAAATCTTACTTGGTCATGGTGTATATTCCTTTTAGTATGTTGCTGATTCTGTCAATGGCTTTTATTTCTATAGATATATGAAATACTGCTTACAGTCTTCTTGTAATAGTATCAGGTAATACTGGCCACATAGATGGGTTGGTAAATATTTCTCTTCTATTTTTTGGTAGAGTTAATAAAAGATTAATGCTAATTCTGCTGTAAAGTTTTGGCAGAATTCACCAGAGAAGCCATTTGATCATGAGGCTGAGGCAGGAGAATTGCTTGAACCTGGGAGCTGAAGGTTGCAGTGAGCTGAGATTGCACCACTGCATTCCAGCCTAAGTGACAGAGTGAGACTCCATCTCAAAAAAAAAAAAAAAAGCAAGTGTTTTGATGACAAATTCTATCTTTACTTGTTATACATCTATTCAGATGTTCTATTTCAGCCAGACACTGTGGCTCATGGCTGTAATTAAACTCCATCTCTATTAAAAATACAAAAAATTAGTCAGGAATGGTGGTGGGCACCTGTAATCCCAGCTAATTGGGAGGCTGAGGTGGGCAGATCACGAGGTCAGAAGTTCAAGACCAGCCTGGTCAACATGATGAAACTCCACCTCCACTAAAAATACAAAAAATTAGCGAGGCATGGTGGCAGGAACCTGTAATTCCAGCTACTTGGGAGGCTGGGGCAGGAGAATCACTTGAACCTGGGAGGCAGAGATTGCAGCGAGCCAAGATTATAACATTGCATGCCAGCCTGGGCAACAACGAGAGACTCTGTCTCAAAAAAAAAAAAAAAGATATTCTATTTCTTCTTGATATATTCTCAGTATTTTGTGTCTATCTGTGAATTTGTCCATTTAATCTAAGTTATCTAATTTGTGGTCACACAATTTTTAAAGGCATTATCTTATAATCCTTTGTATTTCTGTAAGGTAGTAACATCCTCTCTTTCATTTCTAATTTTAGTAAACTATTCTCTGTATTTTCTTTGGTCAGTCTTGGTGGGCCAATTTTGTTGATTTTTTTCAACAAATCAACTTTTGTTATCTTGGTTATTCTCTATTGTTTTTTGAATTCTCCATTTATTTCCTTTCTTATCTCTTGTATTTCCTCTGATTGTCTGGCTTTGGGTTTAGTTTGCTCTTCTAATTCCTTAAGGTGGAAAGTTAGATTATTAATTCCAGATGTTTATTCTTTTAAAATATAGATGTTTACAGCTTTAAGTTTCCCTGGGAGGAGTACTTTCACTGTGTCCCCCAAATTTGGGGACATTGTGTTTCCATTTTCATTTATCATAATGTATTTTTCAATTTTTCTTCTGATTTATTCTTTGACCCACTGGTTGTTTAAAAGTGTGTCATTGAATTTCCACATATTGTGACTTTACCATTTTTCCTTTCATTAGATTCCTGGTTCATTTCATTGTGGTCAGAAATAATACTTGTAATGATTTCAGCCTCTTAAAATTTATGGAAACTTGTATTTTATGGATTAACATATGGTCTATCCTAAAGAATGTGTGATTGTCACTTGAGAAGACAGTGTATTCTCCTGTTGTTGGGTGAAGTGCGCTACAGATGTCTGTTCAGTTGGTTTGTAGTTGTTGGTTTGTAGTTTTATTCAAGACTTTACTTTTCTGCTGATTTTCCTTCTTGTTGTTCTATCCATTATTGATTAGGGTATGGAAGTCTCCAAGCATCACTTAATTATTGATTTCTGACGTTTTTTGCTAGATGTGTTTTGGGGCCTTTTTGTTAACTGCATATGTTTAGAATTATACGTTCTTGAGAGAATTTTTTTTTTTTTTTTTTTTTTTTTTTTGAGACAGGGTCTCACTCCAATTGCCCAGGCTGGAGTACAGTAGTGAGATCATGGCTCACTGCAGCCTCAACTTCCTGGGCTCAGGTGATTCTGTCACCTCGGATTCCTGAATATTCAGGATTATAGGTACATGCCACTACACTCTGCTAATTTTTTATACTTTTAGTAGAGACAGGGTTTCATCATGCACCTAGGCTAGTCTTGAACTGGGCTCAAGTGATCTGCCTACCTCAGCCCCCCAAAGCACTGGGATTGCAGGTAGAATGGCATTTTTTGTCATTATAAAATGTTGTTTCTATTAATTTTTTTTCTTTTAAGGGTCCATTTTGTCTGATATTAGCATAACCAAACCAGCTCTCTTTTGTTTACTATTTGCATGGTATGTCTTTTCCCATCATCTTTTCAACTTATTTGTGTTTTTTTATTTAGTGTTTCTCTTGCAGACAGCATATATCACATTATTTTCAATCCATTCAGCCAAACTTTGCCTTTAGATTGGAGTGC